AGGCCTCATTTGCCAACAAAATGAGTGAGACAACCTTTATTTGCCGACAAGTTTGAATAATCACAGAAAAGCAGCCACACATTGCTAAAAGTCCTCGTTTTTTTAGATAAAACGTTGTTCCAAATTGCATTTTACAGTAGCTCAGCCTCAACTTGTTCTTAATTTTTTTTCATCCTTTGACCAATTTTGAGGCTCGTGTTCTTATAAAATTGTGCTTATAGAAAAAGAGTGTATTGCAAAAAAGAACGTTGACTATGGCCAAAGATATCTTTGCAATGACCAACCATGACCAATAAAATGAATGAATTATAGGTTGAAATTTGGCCAAACTTCCTAATTTATGCTAAGGTTCCCGTTGCATGAACAAATTTTTTGAAGTTTGCAGACACTGGGGGGGGGGGGGGGGGCGTGACGCCCCCCAATCGGCACATCTTTGATCAGATGTTTCGGTTTTAAAATTATGCTCCGCAACTTTCACTCCAGTTGCAAAAGTGTAAAGCAAAAAACGAAAAACTCAAATTTAAATGTTCAGGGGGCCATTATTGCTAATTTTGCCCAGTATCATCAATCCTCAAATTAGCCCTGAGGGCTTACAATGGTGGACTTTCCGTATAAAGCTAAGCAGGGCATTGTTAAGATACTCAGTGGGGGGGGGGGGGGGGAGTGGGATTCCTCCACGCCCCAGTGGACCGCAGTTGCGAAGACAACAAGATTCTTGTTGCAAATTTAAACTTAAAATATACATTCTGTTTAGTATGAAAGCAGCACAATATCATGAAAATTTTTGCTAAATATAGCAAATTGTAATTAAGGTTTTGAATTCCGTCTTCCATGCCAAGTTATTAACTTCTCTTAGCAATCGAAGTTGTCTTATGTATGATATATGTTTGAAACACCCATCTAGCCCCTGGAACAAACGGGGATCTTTTAGCATAAGTAAAAGTATATTTCTTGAGGTGAACATTTGTCCTTTTAAAAATTGCCCCAGTCGCTTCAATATTCCTTAAACAATACCCTGGTTTCTGCCGAAGTAAACATGCATTGCTTTAAATCACAGGAGTAAAACATACAACCGGTAAGACATACAACCGGTAAGACATACAACCGGTAAGACATACAACCGGTAAGACATACAGCCGGTAAGACATACAACCGGTAAGACATACAGCCGGTAAGACATACAACCGGTAAGACATACAACCGGTAAGACATACAACCTGCGATGCGAGCAACACAAAGACATAATGACAGAAAGAACAAAAAAGATAGGATCGATAGGAGACAAATTCATGGCCGCCAATTTGAATTAAAATTTGCATACTCTTAAAGCCAAAGTTTACTTATGCATGTCAAATGGCTTTAAACTTAATGTGAAGTAGGTCCAGAAGCGGACTGGCCCACCGGGACACCGGGAAATTTCCCGGTGCGCCCTTGGCCCCAAGTTATTTTTTTTCAAAAGCTTGAAAACCTTCAATAGTCAACAAATCTGCGAATTAAACTAAAATTGATTACAATCATCAATTGACCTCCTGTCTAAGGTACGTTTCCATAAAAAGTTTAGCTTCGCTTTGAAGTTGAGCAAAATTAAGATTAATTGTTAAGTTTCCCGAACCTCGTTATTGTAAAATGCACTGAAGACGAAATTTTGATCAGCAAATTCTGTAAGATTTTTTGAAAACCTTGAAAAGAACATATTTTATTTTGAAAATGGCTTTGAAAAAAGCAAAAATTTTAAACATACTCAAATCTATTCGTATGAAACTTCTGAGAGCATATAACCTTAGAATAAGGGTCCAAAAGAATAAGATGAAAAATTCGATCCAGAAATTGGTATTTACTCTCCATCTTGTTCTTTCTGACCCTTATTCTGACGTTTTATACTCTGAAGAGGTTCAGACGAAAAGGCTTTTAGTATGTTAAAAATGTTTGCTTTTTCAAAGCTATTTTCAAATTTAATAGCGCCAAAAAATTGTTGATATGTAGCAGCCAGAAGCCTGCTCTCACTTCCAACCCTCGTTAGCTTTTAATTTTCCAAGTAAGTGTGCAATGCTTGAATTAATTTGATATCTATTGAGGTGGCTAATAATTTTGTGAAACCCATGACTTATGACTAACCATATTAGCTTTTTGACTTATGGCTAAAGCAAACTATTCCTAGTGCCTGATATCCAATAATTGAGGGCTCACACTTTGGAAAGATAAATTGGGCACTACCCTGTACTCCTTTCAATCAAAATGGTTATAACTGGATAAAATTATCTGTTGGCTATTGGGTATGGGAACGTTCACATATTACGTAATCAAAGATTGGTTGAGCCATAAACCATCCCTTAATAGTGAAAACTGTTCTAGGTACGATAGAGGACAATACTTTCTGAACGTTCTAATGGTGGCAAGCTATTTTATTTTGCAATTCAACTAAAAACTCATAGGCATCATGCTTTTTGTACGTTACAACCAGAAATTTTGTGGCCAAAAGAAATTATGAGTTATTGGAGCCAAAAATCTTGACAACTTTGTAAAAAACTTTAGACGGAATTTGTTGAGAATTCATGCCCTCGTGTAAAACCTTCTTTAAAACTTAATGGAAAATTAAACCGGCTGTTTTAAAAAAAACTGGTTTCAAATTAACAACTATCTATCAAAGTATTCCAATCTTCCTTCAAACTTTTGCTCCGGAATAGAGACTGTGTCTTTTCTCAAGAAATTATTTATCTTTTCTACCATGTCTACGCACAGTTTCTCATACAGAAGGGGCCTTCAATCTGCAAAATCATCAATTTGCGCAAAACGAACGGCAGCAGGTACTCTAAAAATACATTTGTCCAAGATATGTTATCAGATACTTTTCGGACAAGTCTACAGTTTTAAGCATATGTTCAATACCTGATCATAATTCCGCACGCTGATGCACTGGCATCATATCTTTTGTAAATGATTTGTAACTCTAGCGTAGAGGCAGGAGCAACACAGTCATTAGACTAGCGGGTGCTGAGGCACCCCTTTACTTTTTTAAAGATATGCTGCAAAACTTTCGAAAATTTATGAGAATGAAGTCAATGTATTTCGTCAAATTTCTAAAGATCGATTTTAATCGAAAAGAATCTCGTCTCCCAGGCCAGGGAAATTGTTTTCTTTGTAAAATCTTGGAAGATAGTGTCTCGCTAGCCGAAAAATCATCATTTGATACCTAAAATTGAGGGCAATACATCATTTGGTACCTACAAATTTTGTCAGCCGTGTAGACGTTTCAAATAAAGTCAATTTGACTGAGAATCTTCTTCGTGCCAATGCCAATTGTGAATAAAAACCTTTGATTTTCAACATGAGGCATGTTCCGACATTCTAAATAGGGTGATTTCAAAAAATTTTCCGGGGGCCATGCCCCGATCCCCCGTTTTCTTTCCTGTGACAATGCTTGCAAAAAACTAATTCTCGGCTAAAGCAAAGTTTTTCCGAGCCCGTTTTACAAGCCCTAAAGTTTTGAGACTTTAGCACCTATTGGCGCCAAATGGTTGCCAGTCCGCCACTGACTATTTCTTCCTTGAAACATCACATTTTGTTTAGTTTTTGCTCATGGTTACATTGTCAAATAACCCCTCATTGGCACATCAATCACGAACATGATTATCTTTTTGTCTATCTTCAAACGAAACTGGTGTTTTACAAGTTAAATCTCAATTTAAAAACCAAAAAGCCAGGGGGTAGTCATGATATTTTGCTTCTCGTGGTTTTCGTCTTCGTAGTTTTGTATAGAAGTTCGTTAGTTAGTAATTCGTTTTTGAAAACTTTTTGTGGGATAGAAAAAAATTTAAAAACGGAATAAAGCGACACCAATTCAAAAGTTGGTCCGATTTCAAACAAAAAATTTTCCAAAATTAAAATATATTTATAAAGCAGTATACAAATTAATAAAACATAAGACATTTAAAAGCATGTTTATAGTTCTAGAGGAAAAAAAGAGAAAATGTTAAGTGACCGTGTCCAAAGTATTAGCGGACGAACATTTAACCATAAAACGGATGACGACGAAGGACATACATGGATGCACGACGACGGCGGATATAAGAACGGCGGCGGCGGACATAGGAACGACGACGGCGGAGATAGAAATGACGGCGGCGGACATAGGAACGGCGGCGGCGGACATAGGAACGACGACGGCGGAGATAGAAATGACGGCGGCGGACATAGGAACGGCGGCGGCGGACATAGGAACGGCGGCGTCGGACATAGGTACGACGACGGCGGACATAGGTACGACGACGGCGGACATAGGTACGACGACGGTGGACATAGGTACGACGACGGCGGACATAGGTACGACGACGGCGGACATAGGAACGACGACGCACATTTGGCTGAGGAAATGGATCTCCAGAGGTTGAACGGCGACGGCCCAGAAGTTGTAGAAACCAATATGGATCTGCAGAGAGATTAGGAGTGATTAATCAATTTATCTTTATAAGGTATAACCTTTTATGCTGTGCATTCCAAAAGTCAACAAAGACCATAAATTTACCTCGTGTATCTGTATTCAAATGTAAAGGAGATAATTGAAGAACTTTTCAGGAAGTGAACAATAATCCAAAACGAACTTCGAAGGTAACTTTAAAAGCCGAACATTTATCGAAACTTGTTACAAAACACTTTTATTTGATGCAATAGTCATCAAGATGTCTTATAAATGCTTTTTTAGAAGGTTTTATTATAAAGTAGGGTTGAAAAGTCTCAAAAACCTTTCTCTGTCTGAGCAGTGCTTTCTAACTCATCCATTTCCTTGTTCTCATTTGGTTCAAGATCTGCATTCTCGTCATTGGATTCTTCGTATCTCCGAGCTTAAAGATGGAATCGGTATTATCATCAAAGAACGTAGGAAAGGCTTATTACTGTCTCTTTATTTCAAACTAACAAAAAAAATAATGAATAATAAAGACATCACTTGAAGCCAATCATATTTGCAATCAACCATTTTCTTCACACGATAAATAAATGGTAGTTTTTTTATATTCCACTAAAAGTTTACAAGACAAGTTACCTATTACGCGACCTACTAATTACTCAACAAACAATACAAGCACGTTGATACCACAGGTAGCAATAGACCATGACAACCCCGTGGCAAATAAACAGAGAAAGAATAAAAACTACCAGGTGAAACAGGAAGAGGCACCACCCGCCCGCAAAGCTGCACCTGTGAGCCACCAACCGACACATATAATTGGATACGAATTAAACAATGCTATAAAAATTGTGTCCAAGTCCTCACTTGAGGGTTTATTATGGAGTGTGTGGCCCCCACCACGATTTCCCAAGCATGCAGCACCCCGACCAAACCGTTACATTACATAAATGGTAGTCTGCTGATAAAACACGAAAAACAAAATTAAGGCCTGGCCAAACGAATAAAACATCCGTAAAACATGGCAAAACATTTTTTGTTGGACGATATTTTATGACCTGGCCAAACAAATCAAACAAATCAATTACGGCTGCACAGCTTCATACCGTCACTGCGCTGTGTTTGTCGAATTTCAACCTACTGCGCTTGCCTGAGTAAAAACATGCTTTTAACTTTGCAATTTTCATGTTAAATGAAATATCATGGAGAAAGTGTATACAGTTGGCGTCTCTTCAATTAGAACAGCAAATCAACATCTTTTATGAACTAAAAATCTTTCGATTTAGGCAAGTAGAGGCGAATTATTCTGGACACGAATGTGTACTGGAATATCTTTACTGAAGGCACACCAGAGTTGCTATATCTAAGTTTGTTGTGAAAGCAATCCCCAATAAAAGTGCATGAACCGATCCAAGATACCCTAGAACTGGCTTCTTACACTAAGACTACTTTGAACTTCTAATGCATTTCGCTGAAACCGTTATTAGCTTACTGGAGCTGTAAAACTGTTAAAGAGGTAAAGTAGATTAAAAAAACTGTTGCGAAAATAATCACGGTTGGTTAAGGGGGAAAGCAAAAAGAGTTAAAAAAAGAGACCCTTACCGTTCGTAGACGCTAAAAAGACTGCACCAAGCAGTAGCAAAAGAACGAGACACTTCATCTTTAAATCTATGGATGCAAACATAATTCAGTTCAATATGGGTAAAAACATAAAGGAAGTGCTTTACTTAACGCACTTTACCTAAAGCTTCTCAACCATGTTGGCATTAACCAAACTAATTTAAATTCAGCCTGTATGTTTCTTTTGCAATTGATTGCATTTATTTTACTGTCGTTGGCCTATAAGTCTTTGCTTTCTTTTCAAATTTCTTTTTCACGAACCCTTCTAAAACGTAGCTTCAACTAGGCAAGCAGAGATCTAATGCTTTCATTAATCGAGTGTTAAATTTGAATATCTTCTAACCAAAACAGTTTCAGTATACCCTAATTTTGGTTTTATTTTCAATGAAGCCTTGCAGAAAAAAGCCACCCGGAGGGAAGAAAAAATGGGATGACATATTCTAGAGAGAATTACTACTCATGGGTTTGCTTTGTAAATACTGCGACTTTATATTTAACTCACCCAAAATATGTATTTAACAAATAAAATAATTTCAGATTGATTCGGTTTTGACACTCATCGACGTTAAATTTTACCATTCTATAGATCTAAAATTGCTTTATGTAAAATGATGATTAAATGAATTTTAATCAGAGTTAATTTCACGAGGGGCTTTTGAGCGTTAACTAAATTGCATGAGATTGTTGTTATTACTATTTCGTTATGTTTTGTTGTGCCACGCTTCCTCGCGTTTTGCTTGTATCTGCTCTACTAGTTTATGGGCAATGCAGGGAGTCTTTCAGCCTCCTGTGAATTTGATTTGTATAACTAGGGTAAGATGTGTGTTTCGTGGCGTGTTCATTCCCTTGGTTAATCTAGGGGTATTTAAGGTTTTGGCATAGCGTGGGTCTCATCTTCCTTGGTGAAGCCACAATAGAACTAGGCTGTTTTATTGTATTTTCCCAGCCCTCCCTCCCTCAATTTGTTTCTTTATGTTAAATGCCTTTTCAGTATAACTTTGCATGTTGAGTTTCTTTTATGGCATCGTTAAAACCTCTCATACCTTTAGGCATCTTTTATGCTTCTTAGAGTTTTCTGATGCTATTAGGTAGGACTGGTGCATCGGCTATTAGTGGGGAAAAGAAGCTTTTCCTGTCCATTCCCTCCCAATTATCAACCATATTTGGGGGTTATTGTGTAACTTCCCTTAGTTACCCCTATATGGTAGGTTGAGCGATTGGCGCCGATGCACCAACGGCCCAATCGCTCTTGATGATGTGGGAACGTAGCCTCATGACTGACCTTTCTGATGTCTATGGCAGTTTTTCTGAGGGAGCTTTATGCCCTTAATGTTGGATTGGTATTCCCGAGTTAGTAAATTAAATTACGTTTTGCGTTGTGTGATGTTCAATTACCATTGATATTCATATACTCAGAAAAGTTGATTTAAAAACTCTTATGAAAAGCAAAAACAGCGTATCATTCAAAGTTTTTCAAATGTTTAACTAGTAACAGAAATCCAATAAATGATTCTAACAAGATTTTAACTGCAAAAAATGCACAAAATAAAGGAGTCTATGTATGCTCGAATAGTTATGGAAAACTGCTGCTTTTTACGATTCAAAGAGTTAAATGTTTTTCAGTAAGGGCAATATCACATGATTGTAGTAACGAAGAAACTATTTCCATGTCGTTGGGTCTCGTTTATTTAAGCTACATGCAGGTTGGAAAGCACACATTTTTGTAAGACATGTTTTCTAGAAACCTACATTTTACATTATTTTGTCAATAAAATCCATTCTACGAAAAATAAAAACGTCCAGAAGAAAATCGATATAACTGAACAAAATAAAGAAAAGAAATAAACAAGATAACCAAATGCTTTGTCAGCACAACAGCCTTTTCAAGACCAGGGACTTCTTATTTCCAAAAGATTTTATACAAAAGAATAAAACGACATGTGAAAATTAAACATCAAGCATAAAAATAAGCAAGATAAAAATCTTTGTTGAAAATATTATCGTTAATAAAGTTTTAGAATTAATATGAAACAAGTTAAACAGCTAGAATCTGAAAAAGAAAATACAATCATATCTTTATCTCTGCAGCAATCCAGTCTGAGAGATTTTCAAAAATGGCGACTTTTATGCCACTCTGTGTTCATTCTGCATACAACCACTTTCTTTTGAATTTTACCACGATATGAGCTTAAAAGAATTATGTTACATTACAGGTAAAACGTTTATTAAGAATTGACCACATCTTCTTTTTCTAAAAACAGAGCTCTGCAGTTGTTGTGCACTTCTTCCTGCCCAAGAAACATTTAAATTTGGTTAACGTTTTACAATTTAAGGAATCTGATACAAAAGATCGGACGATAAGAAATGAGATCTGGGAAGCCTCCACCAACCACGGAGATATTAACGTATTTCGATTTATTAAATCTTTTTTCTTTCTAACCAGAGAACCAAAGAAAATAAAGCTCTGCAGTTGTTGTGCACTTCTTCCTGTCCAAGAAGCATTTGAATTTGTTAACGTTTTATAATTTGAGGCATCTGATACAAAAGGTCGTACGATAAGAAATGAGACTTGGAAAGCTTCCACCAACCACGCAGATATTAACGTATTTCGATTCATTAATCTTTTTTCTTTCTAACCAGACAACCAATCAGAATTTTTTTCCTATCATTCTTTTTGAACGATTAATAACTAAAATTTCACTCGTAAATTGATAAAGTTGGCAAACAGCTAAAGGCAATCAGAATGATAGCTCGGTTGATGAGTAGCAAAGAAAGAGTGGTTTATGCATTTAACTCATCACGCTATTATTCTGCTAGCACAGTTTTACAAAGCTTTGCACAACTTGAATCCAGTCTTTATGAATTCATACTATATCTATTCCCAAGATTAAAACAACGAGCTATGGTATGAAATCTATTAGGCTTTTGCGTCCAAATATTTGGGGTTTCCAAAAATGCAAATCAATTCAAATTTCTTATAAAATATTGGTATTTCGAAAATCAATGACTTCCATAATGCGATCTCTTAAGTCCAAGTTTTTAACGCTTGCACCGCATGCGTAAGAAATGAACATTGTCGCTAAACCATTCAAGTCCATAAAACGAAGTGGACGAAGCAGGAAGAGATAGAAATAAAATGATCTAGCAAATGAAGCAGTTTGGCACCATTACAAAGACCAGTGAAAATGAGACACGCTCTAGCAAATGAAGCAGTTTGGCACCATTAGAAAGACCAGTGAGGATGAGACAAGCTCTAGTAAATGAAGCAGTTTGGCACCATTAGAAAGACCAGTGAAAATGAGACACGCTCTAGCAAATGAAGCAGTTTGGCACCATTAGAAAGACCAGTGAAAATGAGACACGCTCTAGCAAATGAAGCAGTTTGGCACCATTAGAAAGACCAGTGAAAATGAGACACGCTCTAGCAAATGAAGCAGTTTGGCACCATTAGAAAGATCAGTGAGGATGAGACAAGCTCTAGCAAATGAAGCAGTTTGGCACCATTAGAAAGACCAGTGAAAATGAGACACGCTCTAGCAAATGAAGCAGTTTGGCACCATTAGAAAGACCAGTGAAAATGAGACACGCTCTAGCAAATTAGAAAGACCAGTGAGGATGAGACACGCTCTAGCAAATGAAGCAGTTTGGCACCATTAGAAAGACCAGTGAAAATGAGACACGCTCTAGCAAATGAAGCAGTTAGGCACCATTAGAAAGACCAGTGAGAATGAGACACGCTCTAGCAAACGAAGAGGAAGGAGCACCATTAGAAAGACCAGTGAGAGGGAGACACGCTCTAGCAAATGAAGCAGTTTGGCACCATTAGAAAGACCAGTGAAAATGAGACACGCTCTAGCAAATGAAGCAGTTTGGCACCATTAGAAAGACCAGTGAGGATGAGACAAGCTCTAGCAAATGAAGCAGTTTGGCACCATTAGAAAGACCAGTGAGAATGAGACACGCTCTAGCAAATGAAGCAGTTTGGCACCATTAGAAAGACCAGTGAGGATGAGACAAGCTCTAGTAAATGAAGCAGTTTGGCACCATTAGAAAGACCAGTGAAAATGAGACACGCTCTAGCAAATGAAGCAGTTTGGCACCATTAGAAAGACCAGTGAAAATGAGACACGCTCTAGCAAATGAAGCAGTTTGGCACCATTAGAAAGACCAGTGAAAATGAGACACGCTCTAGCAAATGAAGCAGTTTGGCACCATTAGAAAGATCAGTGAGGATGAGACAAGCTCTAGCAAATGAAGCAGTTTGGCACCATTAGAAAGACCAGTGAAAATGAGACACGCTCTAGCAAAATGAAGCAAGTTTTTTTGGCAGACATTAGAAAGACCAGTGAAAATGAGACACGCTCTAGCAAATGAAGCATTTTGGCACCAATTAGAAGATCAAGTGAGGATGAGACAACTCTAGCAAATGACAGTTTGGCACCAAAATTAGAAAGACCAGTGAAAAATGAGAACACGCTCTAGCAATGAAGCAGTTAGGCCCATTAGGATAAGAACCAGTGAAGACTGAGAACACGCCTCTAGCACGAAGGGAAGGAAGCAGCCAATTAGAAAGACCAGTGAGAGGGAGACCGCTTCTAGCAAATGAGCAGTTTTGGCACCATTAGAAAGACCCAGTGAAAATGAGAACACGCTCTAGCAAATGAAGCAGTTTGGCACCATTAGAAAGACCAGTGAAAATGAGACACGCTCTAGCAAATGAAGAGAAAAGAGCACCATTAGAAAGACCAGTGAGAAGGAGACACGCTCTAGGAAATGAAGAGGAAAGAGCACCATTAGAAAGACCAGTGAGAGGGAGACACGCTCCAGCAAATGAAGCAGTTTGGCACCATTAGAAAGACCAGTGAAAATGAGACACGCTCTAGCAAATGAAGCAGTTTGGCACCATTAGAAAGACCAGTGAGGATGAGACAAGCTCTAGCAAATGAAGCAGTTTGGCACCATTAGAAAGACCAGTGAAAATGAGACACGCTCTAGCAAATGAAGCAGTTAGGCACCATTAGAAAGACCAGTGAGAATGAGACACGCTCTAGCAAACGAAGAGGAAGGAGCACCATTAGAAAGACCAGTGAGAGGGAGACACGCTCCAGCAAATGAAGCAGTTTGGCACCATTAGAAAGACCAGTGAAAATGAGACACGCTCTAGCAAATGAAGAGAAAAGAGCACCATTAGAAAGACCAGTGAGAAGGAGACACGCTCTAGGAAATGAAGAGGAAAGAGCACCATTAGAAAGACCAGTGAGAGGGAGACACGCTCCAGCAAATGAAGCAGTTTGGCACCATTAGAAAGACCAGTGAAAATGAGACACGCTCTAGCAAATGAAGCAGTTTGGCACCATTAGAAAGATCAGTGAGGATGAGACAAGCTCTAGCAAATGAAGCAGTTTGGCACCATTAGAAAGACCAGTGAAAATGAGACACGCTCTAGCAAATGAAGCAGTTAGGCACCATTAGAAAGACCAGTGAGAATGAGACACGCTCTAGCAAACGAAGAGGAAGGAGCACCATTAGAAAGACCAGTGAGAGGGAGACACGCTCCAGCAAATGAAGCAGTTTGGCACCATTAGAAAGACCAGTGAAAATGAGACACGCTCTAGCAAATGAAGAGAAAAGAGCACCATTAGAAAGACCAGTGAGAAGGAGACACGCTCTAGCAAATGAAGCCGATAGAATCCCAAGAGAAACAACAGCTAGAATAATTCACTGCTACACAAGAAGATGCCTTCTAACTGGGTCGCATAATCCGGAGAAACTTCCGGAACAGGATTATTCTTTTGGCCCTCTTTTTTAGCACAGGTATACTCATTAAAAATACATTTCTAGGACAAATCAGGTCTGTTTTGAAAAAAGAAGTGTTGAGTGCCTCAACGAGTTATCTCAAAGCTTAAACTTTCAAATCAATTGGAGATTAAATTTCTTTATTATCTCTCAAAGTATTTTTAGGCAAACCTTATAGACAGTCATCATATTTCGAAAATGCTGTTCAGGGTCAGGTATCTTGTTTTCAAAATGTTAGTCCGGGTCAGGTATCTTGTTTTCAAAATGTTACTGCAGGTCAGGTATCTTGTTTTACAATGTTACTCCAGGTCAGGTATCATGTTTCCAAAATGTTAGTCCGGGTCAGGTATCATGTTTTCAAAATGTTATTCCGGGTCAGGTATCATGTTTCCAAAATGTTATTCCGGGTCAGGTATCATGTTTCAAAATGTTAAAAATCGTGGTCGAGTGGCTGTGTCAAATGCTGTTAGATAAGGGAAGACAACAAAGGTAACAAGATACCGACTTCGTGGAGATTTGGGGTTGAGCACCCGTTCAGAATTTGGCTTAACCCCCTAGACAACCGTTTTTCACACAAAACAGCTTGCCAAAAAATTTATAAGTGTGGATATAAAATTAAGATTCGGAAAGAAATAAGACCATCTCCAACAGGAAAAATTTGTCTGAAAATTTTGGCTCCTGTATAGATCAGAATTTGGGTTGAAAAGTGCAAATAAATTGAAAAAACTAAAGAGATAGTTCAATTGGGTATAAAAAGACGGAGGTTGAATCTTTTCAAGCCGGCGACAAAAAGCAGTTGGAGCTGTAGCGTAGCCAGATTGGGGGAGGGGAAAGCAAATGTGAGTTGAGGAAGGAAAATTGGGGTCCGAACCCTTTTGAACGTCAGAAAACGCCCCTTTTCAAAGATATTTTTTGTCATTGTAGGGGGGGGGGGGGGGGCGTTCGTCCCCTTATGCCTCCCCCTCTGTTCGTCACTGAGTTATGATGATGATGATGTCTACGATAAGGAAAATTATGAATATAAATTGAGAAAAACGACGTAATGGACAATGAAAAGATTAAAAGAATACATAAATTTGATTCCTGACCTCATTTAAAAGTTTTTTATGCGAATTCTCAAAAATCTTAAATGCAACAAATTTTGTCGTATCAAATTTCGTCCCATTTTGAATTTAGTCAAAGCAGATTTCGTCAAAATATTTGTCCGAAATTTTGAATATACTGCCAAAGTTTCTAATCTTTCAACATTTTCTTTCCTATCTCGATCCACAACTGGGTATATATATTTCCTAGCGTAGAGTTTTCGATCTATGTTCTGACGTTTTAAACTCTGAAGAGTGTCAGACGAAAAGCTTCAGTTTACTAAATGTTTGTTTTTTTCAAAGCCATATTTACACGTTAAAAACATTATATGTAATTATATGAATATATGTAGTTAAAACAATTAGCATTATATGAAAACGAGATAGCTATGAAATCGAGGTTATACCGGGGGTGGATGAAGAGAAATGGCAGAAATATCAAAGAGGTTAAAAGACGAGGGAGAATAAGACTTTTTTTCGGCAATATGAGAGTTTACTCAAATTATTGCTTTTTTCAAAGCCAAGTTTGTACCACCAATAGCTTGTTAGACCCTGTCGTCTCTGTAGGCCCTAAATACACAGCTCTGTTTCGTATCGTTCTACTACGTATCGTAAGACATTGTCGTCTCTACTTTCTCGTCTCTACGTATCTTAAGACATCGTCGTCTCTACTGTAAAACGCTATTAACATCTCTACTTTCTCTTCAAGTCTATTTTTATTAAAGTGAATAGCAGCGTCTCGCGAACTTCTACGGTGAATGTTAACGTGTTTATGCCGTCCAAGCCGTCGCCATCTTGCTTTGGCTGTTCCTTGTATATCATATTATAGTTTTCTCGATTCATCGTGTCACTTCTGAAATGATGCTCTTGGTTCATTTTATACCTTGCAATATCTACTGATGGTCTGATCATTTTCATACCTTGAAACAAGAAAAAAAAATTAGAAGGTTGATAAGAGGAGGAAGGAGAAGAAGGATGAGATTGAGAGGAGACAGAAGACAAAAGAGAAGAAGAAGGACAAAAAGAATGAGAAAAATAAGAAGAAGAAGGAGACAAAAACGTAAAACTGGGTGGAGATGAAGGAGTTGAAGAAGAGGAAGACGTTGAAGGAGTGAAGAACTGAAGCAGTCGAAGGAGTGAAGATGAAAAGAAAGAGAAGAGAAGAAGAGAAGAAGAAGGGGATGCAGACAAAAAAGTGGGAGGAGAAGAGAGAGTTAAAGAAGAGGAAGAAGTCGAAGGAGTTAAAAAGAAAATAAAAAGAAGGGAAGAAAGAAGAAGAAGTGGATGAAAACAAAAAAGTGGGAGGAGACGAGGGAGTTAAAGAAGAGGAAAAACAAGAAGATGAAAGAATAGAAAAAAAGAAGAGAAGAAAGAAGAAGAAGTGGATGAAGACGGAGAAGGAGAAAAAAAGGAAAAAGAAAAATAGGAATAGCAGTAATGGTGATCTTCTACGCCCACTGATGCTCGAACCAATATCTTTAAAACGACGTCGGCTAAAGTTAGTTGCAAAGAGGCACTTATTGCAAGGTAGATTGTGGCATTAATTTATTAAGGACAGGGGAGTCCTGGCTTTCATTTCGTTTCAGTTTAAACAAAAGACGGGTCTAAATTTGGGTTGGTTTTTAAACTTTTAAGAAGGCAGAAGAAGAGAAAGAAGAAGAATAATTAGAGAAACAGAGAAGGAAGAAGAGAAAAGAAGAAGATAAAATAAGAGGAGAACAATTTGAGAGAAAAAAGAAAAATTAGATAAAAAAGAAGAAAAGCGAATAGGGGGAGGGAAAAGATAAAACAGGAGAAGAAGAATCAGAAAAAGCTAGAAAAGGTCGAGGAGGACAAGAGCAAGAAGCAAAAGGAAAAAAGATGAGAAAGAAGAAGAAAATGAAATAAAGAAGACGGAGAGAGAAAGAAAAAGATGGAAGAAGAGTCAGAAAAAATGAGCAGGTGAAGAAAATTCATAAAAAGTAAGAAAAGGTGGAATGAAGAGAATTTAAGGAAGAAATAGAAGACGAGAAAAAAAACATACAGGATAAAAAATTAAGAAAAAAGAAGGGCAACAAAGAGAAGAAGAAAAAAACAATGAAGAGTAAAATTGAAGACGATCAAAATAAGGAGGAAAGCAAGGAATAAGATGAGAAAAAAAGATGTAACAGGAATGGGAGAGAAGACAAGAGAAGAAACAGGATGATTAAAAACAGAAGATAAAAAGAGAATATAAAAGAAGAAGAAGAAAAGTAACATGAAGGAGAAGAAGAAGAAAAGATAAATACAGAGAAGAAGAAGAATTTGTTGAAGTAGCAAAAATTTTAAATTGTCTTAAAAAGAGGAAAATTTTATGACATGCTAAAGTTTTCCTTCTGATACTCCACGTATTATAAAGCCTCAGAATAATAATGCTGAATGAAAAAGAGGAAAATAAAGAGTAAAGGAAGAGGAAGGATAAGAAAAATAAGAGAGAAAATGACGAGAAGAAGACGGAAGCAAAAGAAATAGATGGAAAAATGAAGAAGAAAAGAAAATCAGGGGAACAAGAAGAATATAAGGTATAAGAAGAAGGCGAAGATAAAAAGCAGAAGAAGATCAAAGAAGAAGAAGAAGAAGAGGAAGAAGAAGAAGAAGAAGGAACAAATGAATTGTAGTGTACGAAGGAAAGGGTAGAAGGAGAAGAAGAAATAATGAGAAGGAATAAGAAGAAGGCGAAGAAACAAAAGTAGAAGAAGATCAAAGAAGAAGAAGAAGAAGAAGGAATAAATGAATTGTAGTGTTCGAAGGAAAGGGAAGAAGGAGAAGAAGAAGAAAAGATGAGAAGGAATAAGAAAAGAAGAGGATTTCGCAAAAATTGAGAAGGCTTTAGAAGATCTAAAAGTGATGTTATATACCTATCGTTCTCATCCTTAAAAAGAGATTATCATCTTCACCGCCCCATCCCCAAAATTTATTTGAATATCCATTTATGAGTTGATAGTGCTCTTTTGTAAATAACTGTATCCCGCCAACGAGAAAGTGATAAGGTAGCCTGGTGAGAAAGAATATATCCTCATAAATTTGAGTAAACACTGCTCTAATGAGTTTCAAAATGCAAAAAATGTACCATTCTTCTTAGCTCCACCTCAAATAATCCCCCCCCCCTTGAGTGAACACTCTCTTTATAATGTTAGAATGTCACAGCATCCGTAACTTTAAATATACACTCATATTGTAAATGCTAAAATGAAAACGCCCCCCTTCCTTTGAATCACCCCTTTAACCCACTTCACGTTTGGTGCATCAATCAGTTTTGCGTGGTGGTAAAATGTGTGAAGATGTCAGGAGTAATTACCTTAGGGTGTAGTCCTAAAAAGTTGGGAAGTGGGGCTGTGATGTAGGGTAATCAGATGACCACACCCATTGCCACACCCCATAAGCTTGCATTTGTGTTGAAGGTTCTCTGTTGGGTGTATAAAATCACTTAAGCTACTGACGGACACAAAAGATCCATAGGATATGGCTCATTGGCGGAAAGTCAACAGCATATTAAACTGGATTAAACGGATTTAGCCAAATGGAGTTTTCTTATCAAATCACCATAATTTGGTCTTTTACTTTTGGATACTCAAAAACTCATCATTACATAATACATAATTTTAACCAAAAGTGACAGATTTAATATCATGTGACTCGTTACATCAATTGTTACATCATTCCCCCTCTAAACTTTAGCGAGTGACTACTTCTCCAAACGGCCAAGGGGGGATAATATTTTGCCTCAGACATTATCTAAGCCAATTTGAAGCAGATTTCACTGCATTTGCACTTCTAAAACGTGATTTTTGTGACGTCATTCTTTTCAAATCTAGGAAGTTCCACAATGATGACATCTCACTCCTTTTCTCTTCATTTCTTCTTATTCTCTCCCTTAGCAATTGCCAGCTTCTTTCTCTCTCGCTATATCTTATCAAATTTGCGACAGATTTACCTGGTTTTCTCTTTTGTTAACGTTGTGAAAATACCACACTTTGAGAGGTATTACAAAAACGGGCGGACATGAAGAATCAAGAAAGGTATCGTGTTTTGCTGGATGTCATATTCTTAGGAGAGCCTTCCCTGACCCTAGGCGACCAGTGATTCGTTTATGCAGTCAAAAAATTTTTTATTTTCTTACAGATTCGCTTACAGCCACTCGACCACGAGCGGTTGACCAATCAGATTGCGCACAGAGAAAAACATGTGAACAGTTTCTGTCTTTCTGCAAATCGGTGAAGTTCTAGAGCAGGGCGCAGTAGTTTCACGTGAGCAGTTTCCAATTCCATTATTTTGCGCGTGCTCTGATCAATTTGGCCTAAGTTGTTTTTGGATTCGCTGTACTTATGTATGTCAAATGCCTTTAACCGGATTCTTCATATTCACCCTGGTAATATTTGACTTACTTGTAATTAAATTTGTCAACGCCAACGGACAGATGCATCGGTGAGGCAGGACAGCCATAGTAATTTCGGTCATCCTCACTGAGAAGATCAACATCGTGGAAAACATGGCAGTCATACTCATTAAATGCCAAACTTGCATTGAACCCAATATTGTAAATAGCACCTTTGTTGAACTTTTCTTTCCCAGCCTAAAAAGAAATGTATTTATACACAAAATTTCAGCATATGAAGAAGGAGGCAATTGCCTTTGGATCCAGATTCATTTTTATCACACAGAGGTAGAAACTGATTTGAATTTGCCCGGATTTGCGTTTTTGCTGATGCCATTTTAATTACCCGGCCACATGCTAGTTTCAGAGAAGGTCAACATCGTGGCAAACATGACAGTGATAATCATCGAACATCAAACTTGCATTGAACCCACTATTGTAAATAGCACCTTTGTTGAACTTGTCTTTCCCAACCTTAAAACAAAATACATTTATTCAATATGTTGCGATGTTATTTAAAGGCTGTTGCGCAACCGGCATGCTTAGCGGCAGCGTACTTGGGGGCTCCCCCATTGTGGTTGTGATTCACGCATTCACGCACAATTTGTTGACTTTTCACGCATTCAAGCACTGCAAAATTGGATTTTCACGATCATGCAAAATTGAAGCAATTTTCAAAATTATCATTCAAAATTTCATTCACGAATTGACAGATGGTTAAAGCCTTTCCACTATATAACACAGAAATCTTAATTCACGAAGTCACGCATAAACAAATCGAGATTTCACGATTTCACGCACGGAAATACGGCCCATAACGCATCACGCAAAAATGTAATTTCACGATTATGCAAACAATGAATGTAATTTCAGCTATTGCTCCTCAGAGCCCGGTTTGAAGGACTACAACACTAGTTTCAAACTTTTAATACTTACTTGAGATTTAGCTATCATTGGTTTATTACGCACCAAATTGAGGCAATATTTTAAATTATCATTCAAAATTTCATTCACGAATTGACAGACAGTTAAAGCCTTTTCATGACATAACGCAAGGAAAACTCACGTTTCACGCTCCACGTAGGAATCACGCTGCACGAAATCACGCATGAAAAATCGAGATTTCACGATTTCACGCACGAAAATACGGCCAATAACGCGTCACGCAAAAATATGGGGGGGGGGCCTACTTGAGAAATTGGCTATTAGCTATTAGTGGCTTTCAGTGAAGAGGCCTTTCCTGTTCCTTCCCTCCCAATTATCAATCATATTTGGGGGTTATTGTGTAACTTCCCTTAGTAACCCCTTTTATTGATTTATGGTAGGTAGAGTGATTTGCGCCGATGCACCAACGGCCTAACTCGCTCTCGATGAGGTGGCAACGTAGCCTCATAACTGACCTTTCTGATGTCTATGACAGTTTTTCTGAGGGAGCTTTATGCCCTTTATAATGCATTGGTACTTCATTCCTGAGTTTGAAACTTAATTGCGGTAGTCCACCTTCCTGCGACGAGAAAATCATACTATAAAACCTTTCTCATTTTCAATGGGTTCGAAATGGGCTTGGTTAGGAAGATGGGGTACTCAAAACACATACATATTAAAAAACAGGAGATTTATAAGTTTTATTTTGATCTTTTAATTCTTTGTCTTACTCTATTTTGGAAATCAAAAGGCAGTAAGATTTTTTCAACTCTCTCAAGTTTCCAAATCTTTGGTCTCTTTCCTCAATTTCGTTTTGTCTTTACAATCTTCCTCCGGCCAGTGACCGCGGGGCTGTGGGGCCTTGGGGCTGTGGGGCCGGGGGCCGTAACGTTTTCCTGATTCTGCTCAATTTCCGCTATATCGGTTTAGGATTTGGGATTCAGTTTGGATTTTCAGTAACTAATGTGTGTTTGTGGGAGTAGCTTCAAGGTAGAAGAAAAACAATAGCAGAATTGGCAATAGTGTGACGTCATCAAAAACCTTTTCTTATAATTTTTGAATTTTAACCACATAGCGTAAAAGATCACCATGAAATACTTCCAAATACGCAAAATTGGCCAAATATGTCCAAAAACGGTTGAGATATGGCTAATGAAAGATTTGAAGTTTGCTAACGAATCACTGTTATTTTGGCTCTGTTCATAAAGTTATGAACAGAGACCAAAATACAGAGGTTTGGTGGGAAGAGAACCAATAAACATGTGGCCATATCTCTTCCATTTCGTAATACACTTGCCTGATTTGGCAAGTTTAGAGGTATTTCATGATGCTCTTTCAGGTTATTGGATCTAAATAAAAAATTCTAAAAAAAGATTTTTGTGACGTCATCACTTTAGAACTCTCTATCAATACATTTTACCAACCAAATTTTTTATTGCCCCTATTTCCGTATCTTAAATGGCTATCTTGAAAACATGCCTCTAAGCTACTGTTATTATTATTATTATCATTATTATTATTATTATTATTATTATTATGCTGATGTACACAGTTCTGATGTTATAACTGGCTTGTTCTTGATGTTTCTTGAAATCGGATCAATACCCATGATCTTAGATCTCGAGAACTTTTCTCAACACTCTTGCAGTTCCTAAAAGTACAGATTTTTGTATTAGTTTTATCTGCGTCTTGACTCCAATTTCCTTGATGTAGTTGCTCAAATTTCGTGTTACTGTTCCAAGGGCTCCCAAGACAATAGGAATAACTTTTGCTTAACTTTTTGGAAAATAATTATTAATTATTATTATTATTATTATTATTATTATAATAAAATTATTTACAGTAGGCGAAGCAAATTTCTTAGCTAATATAACAGCTAGTTTAAGCTTACTATTTATACTTAATTTAAAAATCTAAAATTAATTACAATAAATGGATAAAATAATATAAGAAATGTACAAAATTAAAAGGATGACTCATTAGATAAAAATATACAATTATTCGATGACTATTTCAAGAATCCAATCTGCGCAACGTAAGGTTTGCATAGTCTGCAGTTGCATTTTGTATCTTTCCAAGTTTTAATCTTTTTATCAAATATTGCGAGGCTAGAAGATGTTCTGATGTCATTTGTAAGCTCTTGCCAGAGCTTGGATCCCATGAAGGTTGCATTTCTTAGCTTGAGTTCAAGATTCAGGCTATCAAGCTGTCAGATAAGTTGGCCGAGAAAGGCCTTTGCAGGGCTTTTGCCTTTTGAAGTGGATTATATTGCTTTATTCTAGCGCTATTTACAGTGTTGCCCAGGGGCGCCTATCTTGGAGGGGCTACAGGGGCAGCTGCCCTCTTTCAGGAGGGGCAGAGGGGGCAAGCAGTGCCCTTAAATATGTTGTGATTATTATTTTCATTTTTACGCTCTCATTGATTGCCATGACTTCTGTAAAACCAAACATTTCAAATAACGATAATGCCATTTATTACCCAATTGCATGGATAATTTTCTCAATATTAAGCCTATGTATGGAGTCTTTGATTGCTAAAAGCCCAATTGTATGAGTGCAACAGATCCATGGCAATATTCTATTTTCTACTACCCCCTCCCCCTCACAAGTACTCGATTATGGTAGTTGAACAATTCAACTATTTGCCCTCAGCACAAACACTGCCTCTCCTGCCTTAATCTTGTCTAGACGTCCTGGTAATATCTGGACGCATTTAGGATTCCAATCGGGCCGGCTAACGAGACAGGACCAAGCCCGTAGAATCTCTTTAATGTTAAACAATTATAATGATTAATGTAATAGAAAAATTATTATCAAAATGTGTAATGAAAATAACAAAAATATTCACCTGTTCAACCACAAATATCCTGTAATCGATCAACTGCCTCTGAAATACTGGATGCATTGTTCGCAAGAAAACGTTCAGCTGCTTATTCCTATTTCGAAACGGTATCAAAAAGGCAACCTTTTTCCCTACACAATCCTTTGGACGCCAAGAGCCACCAATTTCAACTTCCCCACCATATTGCATGGATAAATTAAATGGAAAAGATGTATCGATGGTGTTGACAATGCGTCTTCCATGAAGAAATGACGAGTTGACTGGGCATCGGTTCATGTTGCCATTTTCGTTAACTATGGCTGTTGCATGTAATTCTGATCCATGCATTGACGCTTGTGTATTTTCGGTAAGGAAATGCCGTATCACGAGTATGCTTGAATAGATTAATAAAAGAGCAGAACAAGTAATGGCAATACTCCTCGCATGCAAACGTGCCATTTATCACATCATAACACCGCGCCTATTTGCTCCATCTTTGCTTATTGTAGACAAGTTGTGGTTAAAGGCAGCTTGTCACGACGTTCTTTGCTTTCCCGAAACAAAGAATTGCGTTTCTATTTCAGTGCGTTTTAATGTTATAACAAAGGAGGTCATATAAAACGGATCTCCAGTGAGAAATAAATTAGAGAAATGCGAAAAATTCCGCGCGGTGAATGCGAAAAGTTAACTTTGATATGTGCAGTTAGGATTTCTCTGCGAAAAAAATCTAAAAAGAGTTTAACCATCTTTAGTTTAAATTTAAATTTCCCTTGCGAAATTCTTCCGCATCCAGTCATCATCTGTATTGCCCTGTCACGCTTCGAAACTTTTCATTCCAATGTCATGAGGTCAACACGAAACCAGCCCAGCCGTACTCATTTGATTGACTTTTAATTATTTATGCAGGATAATACATTCAGTAAGATTTACAGGGCCTCCGACGAAGGGGGGCCGAGAGGCCTTGGCCACCACACTTTTTTGCAAAACAATAGAGTCTTCTTCAAAATCTTCTGTTATGGGTGCCAAATTTTCCCTTGGCCCCCCCTCCACTTTTCAACCTTTGTCGGAGCCCATGATTTACAATGTGCCCTGTTATGAAAACATTCAATCTATTGCTGGTTCTCCAGAATATTGAACACAAACATTAATCAATCCCTGTTTACATTTGTGGGAAAAAGTGGTTGTTGCCCCCCGATCTTCTTTGATTTTGTTGTTGTCACGTGATATTGTTGACGAGTTGTGATGGGTGGTGTTTTTGGTTGTTGTTGGATTGTCTCTGGATCTGGAAAGAAGGACGCACGGACGTTGAAAAAGGAACATTCTATTCTGATGATCATAAAGGCAAAGAGAAACCCAAGAACTCTTGAACCGTATTGTATATATATTCAGGTGACATTGTTTCGATTTTATTCTGATTGGGTTTAGTTCCTTAATTCCTTAATATTCTTCTATTTTATTGATGGTTTCTTGTTTTCTTGATATTTACGAGTTAGAGTATTATCGATCTATTTAGTTTAACTTATATACAGTCCTCTTTTCTCGAATTTGAATCTATGGATCCTTAATTTTGAACCTTTTGGTGATTCTAACTTGTCAGCGTTGGAGAGGGAGTGTCAGATAATTGTCACCTCTCTGTTTCCGACCCCGAATTGCGATCCTGTGGCAGGATAATTTCTACATGGTCCACAGCAAGTGGTTTGTTTGATTTAATGCTCTTTTCTCGCCGGATTGATATTTTGTTTATTTGTTTGTTTGTTTGCGCTTCATGATGAGAGCGAGATTCTTTTTAGTAAACGATTCTTTGCTGTTTTTCTCGTATTGAAGTAATTCGGTAGAGACATGACGTCTCAGGGGGAAAGCGCCACTAACCCTGCAGACCCTCCTCTCCCAGCAGCAGCAGTTAGCAAAAGGAAAAGAGTAAGGGCTGGTTACCGTGCCTATGTTACTAAATTAATAACGGACGCTAAAACTCTGTTAGACGAAGAACCCTTTGCGGAAGTAAGGGCTGACCAGTTGAAGTTTCTTTTAAAAGAAAGGGTGACACTTTTGCGTAAAATCGATGAAGAAATCTTTGATTTAATTCCTGAAGATGAAATAGAAAGAGAGGTTATAGAAAGTGAAGAAATTCAAAGTCACATATATTCCGTTATTTTCGAACTCGATTCTCGACAAAGAAATCTCGTAGAGCCTGCACCTACAGCCTCTATTGTGCAGCCCCTACCCTCTCAACTCAACCCTCCACCTCGCAGTATGCTGCTGATATGCCAAATTTGCCTAAATTGAATCTTCCAAAATTCTACGGGGACCCAAAAAGTGGCAAGAGTGGTGGGACTCCTATGAAATAATACATGGAAATCCTAACTTATCTGATATCAATAAGTTTCGTCACTTGCGTACCTTGTTGGAGGGGCCAGCCGCCACGGCAGTTTCGGGAATTCAGACCACATCGCTAAACTATAGCGAGGCTATCGCAATTTTGAAAGACAGATTTGCAAATAAACAAATTATTATAAACTCTCATATGGAGTCGCTATTGAATCTAAATCAGGTTTCAAATGAACGGGACATAAAAAATTTGCGTAAACTCCACGACAACATCGAAACGAACGTGCGAAGTCTCAAAACATTAGGAGTTGATTTTGCGCAGTATGGGGCTCTACTTGTCCCCATGATTATGTCAAAATTTCCGGAAGACATACGTCTTGCTATCACAAAATCTGTAAACAACGACTGGGGCTTAGATTCAATCTTGGCAGTTTTCAAAACTGAGCTCAACGCACGAGAACAATGCCAAGTGAAATTCGACGTAAAAAATTCTGGTGTTCAAAATGTAGTTAAACCTCGCGGCCAACTGCCCACAACTACGGCCTTGTTTAGTAATGATGGAAAAGTGACTTGCACATTTTGTAAGGCGAATCACCCATCCGCTAAATGTAATAACGTAACTGAGCCAACTGCAAGAAAATTGGTTTTGCAAAGGGAAGGGCGATGCTTTGTGTGCCTAAAGAAAAAACACTTGTCACGAAATTGTACAAGCAATATACGATGCTTTCAGTGTAAACAAAGGCATCATATAAGCATTTGTCAATCTGGTCAATCGCAATATACGCAGTATAGAAATACAAGTATGCCTCATCAAAGCGATAGTGTTCCTTCAAATTCACAAGTAATTTCGAACACGAATCTAATTACTACAGGACACAATGGCGGTTTTCAAGCTGCTAGTAATTTACGTTTACCTTCGCATGAAGGGAATTCTGCGAGCATTCCCCCTCCTACGGTTTCAATGTTAGTTGATGCCAAGCACTCTATTCTTTTACAGACAGGGAAGGGGTATGTTTCAGCAGCTCAGAATTCAGAAAATTGCAAAACAGCGCGTATGCTTTTTGACTCTGGTTCTCAAAAATCGTATATTTCTGCGGAACTAAGAGATGCTTTGAACTTACCTACCATTTCTAAAGAAACGCTCACAATTAAACTTTTGGTTCAGAACGCGGAGCAATTAACAGCTATGACGTCACACAATTTGGTGTGAGAAGCCCCTATAATGGTGTAACAACATACGTAACTGCCTATGTTGTTCCAACAGTCTGTGCGCCCTTGAAAAATCAAGTCATAGATCTCGCAGCCTCTGTGTACCCTCATTTGAATGGCTTATCACTGGCAGACTATCCAGCCAATAACGAAGACGAACTCTCAATTCAGATTTTGATTGGCTCGGATTTCTATTGGAATTTTATGACAGGGGGCGTTGTAAGAAGTCAAAGCGGTGGTCCAATCGCTTTAGAATCAGTTCTTGGATGGATTTTGTCGGGTCCGGTACCTGTTTTCAATGAAAGCACCTCCACAGGGACAAATTTTGCTCAAACACATGTACTTCGCGTGAATGATGAGCGGCCCTCAATCAATTGTAACTCTGCTGTCGAAAGGGAGCTTGCAAAATTCTGGGAATTGGAATCCCTGGGAATTTCACCCAAGGAAGAATCTGTATATGAACATTTTAGTGATGAAATTCGATTTGTGGACGGTCGATACGAGGTTAAGCTCCCTTGGAAGCTGAAGCACCCTCCATTGCCTGACAATTATCTCCTGGCAAAGAAAAGGCTGGAAAAGCAGATGCCCAAACTGCAAAGCAATCCAGAACTGTTGAAGGAATATAATGCGATAATGAAGGATCAAGAAGAACGAGGTATAATAGAAAGGGTACATCCAAATACCAAAGGAGTTGTTGGCAAGACACACTTTCTCCCTCATCATCCTGTAGTCAGACAGGACAAGGAAACAACAAAAGTTCGCATAGTGTACGACGCTTCTGCTGCCAACAGCTCTGGAGTTTCCTTGAATAGCTGCTTGTATCAAGGACCCTGTTTATTACGCACAGTAGCCGAGATACTGACTCGCTTTCGGTTGTTTCCCATTGGTTTGACTTCAGACATCGAGAAAGCGTTTCTCATGATATCTGTTAACGAAGCGGACAGGGATTCCTTACGGTTTCTTTGGTACGAGAATGTGCAAGCAGAGGAAAGGAACTTACAAGTATATCGCTTTTGTCGTGTCGTTTTTGGTGTCACCTGCAGTCCGTTCTTGCTAAACGCCACCTTGTCTCATCATATAAGAAAGTACCAAGACGAAAACCCTATCATTTGTACAAAGCTATTAAGTGCGCTGTACGCCGATGACGTCACATCGGGAGGGTACTCAGTGGAAGACGTGTTTCAGTTATTAGTGATATGTGATTTGCACAATTGCTCTGCAGCCATTATATAAAATTTCAAGACGAAGTGACAAGCTTAACAGATTAGACATCAGTGCTAAAAAATAACAACAAGAATATCACCTATTGCGATGCGTTCGTGGGAATATGATGCTGCGCAGCGCAAAGATCCCCAACATGCCCTGTCTAAAAACCTAAGCTAATTAACCTTAATTAATTATTATACTCTGCAAGTTGTGACCAATTAATTAATTAAATAGCAAAGTTAAACAAAAATTAATATACAAGATGTTCTGGTAAGGTAAAAATAAAAAGTTAAAATGAAGTTTGATGCTGTACAAGAACTCTCAAACCTTTGATTTTTCAAAGATTGTTTCAGCAAATTTTTGAAAATAGCCAGTGAAGGGGCATTTTTTATTTCAGTGCTTAGTTTATTCCACACATTCATACCTCGATATGAGAAACTACGTTGCCCGTAAGAGGTTGCAAAGCGAGGAATTCTAAGATCCGTGTCTGTATTACGGAGAGACCGTGAACTGTTTTTCGACAATTTTGTGAACATTAGCTGCATATATTCAGGAGCTAATCCCTAGACAGACTTGTACACTGCAATTGCAGTTTCAAATTCGATCATTTCTTTTATAGTTAAAGGCACTGAGTCATGATATAATGGATTGGGTATTGAGTACCGAAGTGTGACGTCACCAAAAATCTATTTTTAGAATTTCTAAAATTTGGCCGCATAATCTGAAAGAATGGCATAAAATACCTCTCATTGTGCAAAATTAGTTAGTTATGTTCCAAACTGGGCGAGATATGACCAATGAAAGATTTCAAGTTTGCTAAAGGATTATTGTTATTCTGGCCTGGTTCATAAAGTTATGAACCAAGACCAAATTACAGAGGTTTGATGGGACAAGAGCCTGTCCTTATGTGGCCATATCTAAGCCAATTTGTGATACCTTTAACTGATTTTGCATATTTAGAGGTATTTCATGATGGTCTTTAAGGTTCTGGGATCAAAATTCAGAAATTCTAAAAAAATATTTTTATGACGTCATCACTTCGGTACTCTATACCCTAAGTTCAAAATCCGCTGATTCATGATTTTCATGACTGCGATGCTATTGGTTGACCTGGAACTGGTCACATGAACTCACCTAGTACTGATTGATAAAACAATTTCCATCAAAAGTAAGTTGTCAACAGCGGAGGCAAATATCACATGAAATAGCAGCGATCACGCCGAAACCAAATGACTCTCTATAGAGAAGGCCTATTTACCATGACTCAATGCCTTTAACCACCCTAGGCTTCCCATCAATTGAAGAGATGATGCATCGTAAGAGCTGTTAGTAGCGATTCGTGCGGCACGGTTTTGCAGCCTTTGCAGCTTATCGAGCAGGGTTTCTCCACAACAACCCCACACCGAGCAGCAGTTTGTGAAATGCGGTTCAACTATACTTGTATACATATTTTTTACAATTTCTAATGGGAGATACTTTTTCGCATTTTTAAGCATGCACATTGCTCTCGAAATCTTGGCTACAGCAAAAGTTATATGTTCTCTTCACTTAAGTTCTGAATCAATCTGAATACCCAGATACTTAATTGATCCAATCATATCGAGATTGTCCTCGTTTATATGGAAATTTGTCACAGGATTTCCATTGTCCGCATGATGTTGTTTACGAATTACTCGAGGAACCAAGGATCATGCTTTGCGTTTTGGCTACATTAAAGGTAATGTGTCCAGCTATAGCAAGCGACTCTGCGGGGGTTTTTAGAAACATGTGATTTTTCATGTTATCGCCCCAGTCATTACGGTCGTTCTGTTTATCTATCCTGCTGTGAGGTTAGCTTTTCATGTGAACAGTTTAGCATTGCGAGAATACTAACCAATCACAAACTGTTATTTTGATGGGTGGCTTGACAAGTTGGGTATCCGCAGTCCTTTTATATGGACACATTACCTTTAAGAAAAAGTTTTTCACCTTCCAACCAAAACTGAAGCCTTTTAAGGTCTGAATTAACTGCTTCGTTCATCTCGCCTTTGTCTCGCTTCAATAGATTTTGACGAGTTCGATAAATTTTTTCAAAGACATTTAAAAGGTGTAGAAAGGAACGATTGAGACAATAAATTGTGTTGCTTCCGTTATTACTTGGATATAAATAAAAAATCTTGAATAATCAAAAAAAGTTTTTAAGCAAAAAGAGACAACATAGTTAAGCTTGTACACAATTTCTGTGCGAAGATTTTCAGCAATTTTGTGTTCAAAATCTTAAGATATTTTTCGGGCAGCAGAAATAACACAATATTTTTTTATAAGAAAGGGTTTCTGATCAAAAGGAACCACTGATCTATAAAAAAGATTGGATCGAGCTTCCTATTGTCTTGAAACACCAAAGTTTGAAGCTCGTTCAATTTCAAAAGGAAGAGGGCCCCAAACAATAGCGGGAAGCCATTCCTCAAAACCAATGCTTGAACGATATGAATTCGTGAGAGCTGCAATGCTGTGTGTATGATTGCTGAAAAAGGAACAAGGCCAGAGCAGCTGAAGACGTTGCTAGGACTGACACTTCAGGCCGTCTCCTAGCATAGGCTGTTCTGGGACCCTCTTCCCGGATGGTGACACTCGGGTCACATTAGAAGCTCGATCCAGTTTTTTTTATAGATCGGTAAAAGGAACCCTAAGTTACTTATATTTACATGTGTTGAGACTTCGCTCAAATTCAACTTATTTAAAAAAACTTTATAGAAGTAGTGTAACTGAAGATTCTTCAACCAATCTAGACCCTAGTTAACGAGAAAAATATCATTTTCACTTCTTGCTGTTGTGTTGGGCACGCTCTAAAATGATTGGATAAACAGGGGGCTCCCCTGCCTTAGTTTTTCCTTAGGGTTTCAGGTACCTCTGTTGCGCCACTGAATCCAATGCAAAACGAAGTCCAATGACGAAGGGGGTGGGGGGTGGGGGGTGGTTGATCTATAGCGATAATCAAAATCGGTAGACATGTACCTTCTTTAGAAGGTTGGAAAGTTGAGATTTACCTTATATTTATATATATGAACTAATTTGATCCTTGTTAAATTTCACCAAGTGCTGAGGTTTGGTGGTTGTCTAAACTGATCCAGGTTTACCCCCAGCCTATCTAAACTGATCCAGGTTTACCCCCAGCTTATCTAAACTGATCCAGGTTCACCCCTAGCCTATCTAAACTGATTCAGGTTTACCCACGGCCTATCTATTCAAGGTGAAGTTCTTACCTCACTCAGGGTGGACGAAAAATTTAAATTTCATGCAGCAATCCTTGAATTGAATTGGACCATGTATCTGTATGGGACGTTTTGGAACAGGGGCCAATTGTAGGGGGCTTTAACGAGAGGTTCTTTTGTCTTGCCAAACGAAGCATACTTCAGATCGAGGTTGACAACGCAGATTTGGAATCTGGACTGGAATTCACTTTAATTTTTAAATGAAAATTAAAAGAATACATTTTAATGAAAAACTAGAGGAATATTTTACAGATTATTACTGTACTTTTACAACCATTGTAAAAGGTTATTCTAATTTTCTAAGATATTTAGGTTTTTAGCAGGGCCCTTATTGATAACAGCACTTCACTTGCTGACAATCTAACCCAATCTCAAAGCCATGTGTCGTGAACATGATTGGCTAACGTAATACCATTATCTTTTTGTTGAGTACAAAGCACGAGATCAAGGTTGAATTCTCACGACAGTAAAGTTCATGAAATGGAAAGTCACGAAACAATGGAATTCCAATCCCAACGTTTTTGTTTACAAGCCAACTTCTAACGCGACACATGCCCTTTAATTACTTAATTATTTATAAGGCTTAAGAAGTGAGGTAATTTCCTTTTCTCAAGAAGACATTTTGAATCCTAGCATACCAAGGGGTAAATTTATTAATTTTTGGCTCTTAGCCTTGAAAACAGGATCTCTAGCATTATTTTGCTTTGAGTAACAAGGGTTTATTACCAAATATGCATATAAACAGGGACTGCAACGCATAGTACGGGCTTTGGGGCTAAAGAATTTTTTTTCTGGGGGGGGGGGGGGGGGGGCAAAAAAGTTTAGCCTAGTAGTGAAACAGTTAAAAACAAGATTATATTTTTACAGTTTAAAGTACAAATGTGAAAATTATTTTCTTCCGCAATCCCTACATATAGATACATAAGTTGGACTTCATTGAAATTTATATCAAATTATAACTTACAAGATTATCCCATAAAGTATTAGAGTGAATCTTTAACATTTCACACATCTTCGGTTCTTTTATCCTTTTTTGAGAAGCTTTTGCTGCACAATAATTCTTCGAGTCGTGAGAGTCGGTTGTTACGTTTTTTTCAAGTTTATACTGATTAAAGTGTATAGCAGCGATTGCCGGACTTCTGAAGTAAATGATAGTGTGTTTATACTATTTAAACCGTCTGTTTCCTGTCTTGGCCGTCTCTTGAACAACAAGACCTGGTTGGCCTGGCTCCATGGGTCACTTCGGAAATGATGTTGTTGGTTCATTTTATACCTTGCAACATCGATTGACGGTCGAATCAATTTGATACCTTGAAACAAGAAGAAAAGAGAATTAGAAGATTAATAAGAGGAAAAAGGAGACAAAGGAGTTGAAGAGGAAAAAAAGGAGAAAAGAAAGGGGGAGAAATAATTAAAAAGGAGGAAGAAGGAGAAAAAGACAAAGAAGAAGAAGGACAAGACACAGAAGAAGCAGAAGATAAAGAAGATGAGGGTGAAGCATGAAGAAATGAGAGAAGGAAAGGAAAAGAAAGAAGAAGTTGAAGATTAAGAAGAGGGAGAAGGAGAAGAACGTGGAGATGAAGAAGAGAAAGAAGAAGACCAAAAGAAAAATAATAAGGAAAAGAAGGAGCAGAGAAAAAGAAGGGGATAAAGGCAAAGAAGAAGACAGGAAAGAGGAAGAGAAAGAAGAAGGAAAAGAAGAGAAAGAAGTAGGAGAAAAAGAGAAAGAAGAAGGAGAAGAAGAGAAAGAAGAAGAAGAAGAAGAGAAAGAAGAAGGGAAGAAGAGAAAGAAGAAGGGAAGAAGAGAAAGAAGACAACGAAGGAGAAAAAAGAGGTTTGAAGAAGATCAAAAGGAAATGTGGAAGGAGAAGAAGAAAAAGAAGGAGAAGAAGGAGAACAAGACAACGGAGAAGAATAAGATGAAGGAGTAAGAGAGGGTCGAAGCAGAAAAAAGAGGGTCGAAGAAGAAGAACAAAAAGAAGGAGAAAAACTAGTAGAGGGAGAAGGAGGAGGGATAGAAGGAGAAGAAGAGCACCAACAATAATTGGACCAAGGAGCAGAAAAAAGGAATCATATAAAATAAATGAACTGAGAAAATCTAACATGATCAAATTATTTGTCATACCTTTAGCTTTTATTCTTGTGAACAGATTATCGTCTTCACCGCCCCATCCCCAAAATTTGTTTGAATAGCCATTTATATGTTGATAGTGCTCTTTCGTAAATAGCTGGATCCCTCCAATGAGGCTTGGATATGATAGCCTGGCGAGAAACAAAATAACATTCTAAAGTGATGATGTCACATAAATTTCTGACTTTTGATCACATAACTTGAAAGAGCATTACAAATACATGTGCAGAATCAGTCAAATATTTTACGAATTGGTTGAGTTATGGCTACATGAGCACAGGTTCTTTCCCCATCAAACCTCTGTAATTTTGTCACTGTTCATAACTTTATGGACAGAGCCAAAATAACAGTGATTCGTTAGCAAACTTCAAATCTTTCATTAGCCATATCTCACAATTTTAGACATGTTTTACTGATCTTGCATAATTAGAAGTATTTCATGGTCTTCTTGCATAATTAGAAGTATTTCATGATTATTTTGCTTAATTAGAAGTATTTCATGGTGTTCTTTTGAGCCTAAAAATAGCTTTTTTGTGACGTCACACTCAAGAACTCTATACCATATAATTGAAGAAAAACAGGAAACTGCTCTTTATAAACTTGCCATGTCTAGTTTATACAATCTGCTAATCTGTAATTACAGACTGGCTTGTCTAAATTATACACACAGTTGTATATAGAAATCATCAATAACAAAGCACAAATGCAGTTTATTGACAAACTAAATTAGAATACATTTAGGCTTAAAGGCAGTCTGTCCCCATTTGTGCTTAAATTTCATTGAAAAGGGGGATAGGGAACAGGACAACAGGTACTGTGAAAGAAAAGGTATGTTGAGGAGCTGTGAGGGAGAAGGCGGAAGAGAAAAGCGACAGAGATTAATTTTCCATTTCTCTTCTCCTGCTCTCTCCCTCTCCAATTCTTTTCAGCTCTTTGTTGCCCTAGACAATAGCCTCTGTGGAGAAGATTAACCAATTAGAGACAACTTTGATTCCAGCGCTTTGGAATCAAATTAACTGTCTGTTGCACTTTTGTCTAGTAGCTTTACTAGCAATTTGTGGAGGGAAATTTTCAACAATTTTTAGGCATAAGGAACCCTTTTTTGCAACATACATAGTGAAAATTTAAATTTTTTTATAACTTACTTGTAATTGAATTTGTCAATGCCAAGGGACATATGCATCGGTGAAGCAGGACAGCCATAATAATTTCGGTCATCCTCACTTAGAAGATCAACATCGTGGAAAACATGGCAGTCATAATCATCAAACATCAAACTTGCATTGAACCCAATATTGTAAATAGCACCTTTGTTGAACTTTTCTTTTCCAGCCTAAAAAGAAATGTATTTATACATAAAATTGCAGCATATGAAGAAGGGGGCAATTGAACTTGGATCCAGCACACACTAGACCCAAATTCTTCATTGCTTCTCATTCTCTTTGGATTTTCAGCAAAATATTGATGTTTCCATTTATTCTTGACATTTTGTTTCATTTCTATCACACAAAGGTAGAAACTGAATTGAATTTGCCAGGATTTGCGTTTTTGCTGATGCCATTGCAATAACCCAGCCTCAACAGCAAGATTTGTTCAACAATGTTAGAATGCTAATTCCAGAGCTGCCATTTTGTTATTCACCATCCTAGTACTTTTGTCATGTAAGCTAAGTTAAAACTATTTTTCTACCCATAGATGCCTGACAAATATCCTCAGGGCTTGGCACTTTTTGCAAAAAGTTTCCAAACTCTAACTCTGGTAAAGAACTGGAATTAATATTCTTTAATTGTACATTCTACCTCAAAGGCAAGTGAAGAGGAGGGATCCTCTGTGACAACCTTGAGCCAGCAAATAGAGCTGCCTTAAGCCTAAAAAACAGGATCAGTTTTTATCAGTTTTTAAGTGACAGTTTTCAGTTTTCAGTTAAAAACTGATCGTGTATTTAGCAAAAACTGATAAAAACTGATGCATTAATGAACATCAATTTTTGACTGAAGGAGTTGAACACGTCCAACTTTGTCAGTTTTTGACTGATGGGATTTCTATTCATTTATGTAGACTCTATTGTTTAAAGCAGGAACCCTTATAATCCCCTTGCGCAAGGTGCCAATTTTTTTAGAGCTGTCAGTCAAAAACTGATAAAAACTGATTGTGGATTTCAGGCTTTAGGGTCAATTTTCCTGACCTACTAAAGGGCCAATTTTGCCTAAGCTGCTCAAGGATATGTTTGGCTTGAACAGCAAGGTATGGGTAGCTGGAGATGTATCTAGAATTTTTATCATAAAATATGTTCTTTATTTGCTTCATTGTTGAAGTCTCTGACTTTAAAGGCATTTGACACAGGTAAAAGTGGTTTACAGCCACTCGACCACAAGTGGTCGACCCATTAAATTGCACACAGAGAAAAACACCTGAACATTTTCCGCTTTTCTGCAAATCAGTGAAATCCTAGAGCAGCGCACAGTGGTTTCATGTGAGCGGCTTTCAATACCTTTCTTGTGCCCATGCTCTGATAAATTTAGCCTAAGTTATTTTTGGATTCGCTGTACTTATGCATGTCAAATGCCTTTAATAAGGAACTTGTCAAGTAAAAACAATATTGTCTGAGACTTGCTTTGGCAGGATATTGTACTGTTTAGCTTGATTAACAAAGCAGCCTCTTCATTGCGCAAAAACAACAATCCATCACAAAAATAAATAGTGATTGTTTTTCAACATTTTGCTGATGAGTACGTTTTATCTCCATGACCAGCTTCACAACTGTGAATAAGTGCAGATCACAGGAAGTTACTAGGTCACTGGATGAGCTTGCAGACAAACAGTTTCTGACAAGGAGGAAAAATTAGTAACATGACTGACCCACATATTTTCCATCTTTAAAATGGTTTCCCTGGATAGATCAATGGTAATTATGGTACAGTAGAATCTTGTTTTAACGTACTGGTTATTACGTACTTTCCGATCAAACCTGCTGGTGTACTTGGGCCCAGCAATAGGTGTGCTTGGTTTTAGTCAATTTTTAATTAATACCCTGGTTACAACGTACTTCGATTATAATGTACCTAATACCCTGGTCCCTTAAAGTACGTTATAATTGGATTATACTGTAACTAACAGAAAATTTTTTATCTCCTTTTAGGTCATGCTGTCAAGATCTAAAAATTCTTAAACAAGAACATCATCGCACATCAGACTACACAAGAAGCTTCTAGCCAACGATGAGGTAAATATTTAATTTCCCACAGAACTATTTATCACATTTTTTTACCATTCAGTCAGCTTAACATTTCGAGTTACAATAAATACTTGATTGAAACCTACTAAATAGCCATATCTTGTGTTGCATATTTAAATAATAGAATCGCATTTCTATCATCAATATTTATTCAATACAACAGGTGTTCTTGAACTGAAAACTTATTCAACCAATCATGCAATTCAACTTCGCAACCAGCTGAGTTTCATTTTCAGTTGCCATGGTGCCACATGCCCATTCTGTTAATTGTCATTCAGATATTTAGATTATCAATTTGACTTAATAAATGCTTTTTTCAGGTATGGAAGTATTTTATCAGAAAATTTAGCATTTGTCTACCTCGAAACATTTTTCCTACTGTGAATAGTAGAAAACACATAACTATGAACCATGATTTGTGCCGGTACTTAGCATAGTAAAGTGGATCATATCCCACATTTTGGTCCAATAATTGGATGTAATGTAATGCAATGTATTCATTGCACAGATCCTAAGTATAATATAGGTTTTTCACTGGCAGTAGAATAAATAATAAAGGATCTCCAGGAACATCATGCCATTGTGGGGAACTTTAAATGGGGTACTTTGATATCAATGAAAATGCTTTATAGCAAGATCTTCAATGTTTTGAAAGTTACCCCCTAGCATAATGAGCATAGGTTTTATGACTCAACAATATGCCTCAGATCACAAGCTGTCTCATTCTGTTTATCCCATACTTAATTTCAGTCAACTGTCTTCTTTGCTGCCAGGACACCTAACAAATCAAAATATTCTTTCGTATTTCCTGACCATTTGTCCATAAAATTTTGAATACATCCTTTTATTTGTCCAGACAAAAACCCAATAAACGCCAACTGATCAAAAGCAACCAAGTTCTGTGGCCAACCAACAATGACAATGAGACTTTCTGCTCCATCGACATTGAATAAAGGCAAATATTTCTTAATGAAATTAAAGTCAAAACATTAGACAATGCATTTTGCCGGTGAAATAGTTCTACGAGGTGTTCCTGTGCACTCCTTTTTATAAGAACGTCGAGGCTTGATTTTTAAATAAATTGGAACAACCTTGAACTATGCTGAGTTTCTCACGAAAAGTTAAAAGAACAAACAATGTACTTCCGAAAACTTTCTCTCATAATACTAATAGCAAAACAGAGCAGATTTTACTAATTTATTCACCATGTTTCCAAAATGCCATGAAAAACCATTATGCAGTGGTCTTAGAAACAATTTATTAGCAATAGCCGGATGTGTTTTTTCTAAATAGAAAAATCAGACAGATCAGACAAATCCTCGTAGAAAAATCAACATGGAATTGAGAACTATATTAAAGCCTCAAATTATCGAAGAGATAAGAACATCGGGCCTCTCAGTCTCTTATAACAAAGGTTTTATATAGCATTGAAATGAAATCACAAGGTACAAAAAATATTCACCTGTTCAACCACAAAAATCCTATAATCGATCATCTGCCTCTGAAATACTGGATGCATTGTTCGCAAGAAAACATTCAACTGCTTATTCCTATTTCGAAACGGAATCAAAAAAGCAACCTTTTTCCCTACACAATCCTTTGGACGCCAAGAGCCACCAATTTCAACTTCCCCGCCATATTGAACGGATAAATTAAATGGAAAAGATGTATCGTTGATGTCCAATAAGCGTCTTCCATGAAGAAATGGCGAGTTGACTGGACAAGGAGTTCCTTCCGTACTGTTGTCAATTTTAGGCCCGTCGGGCCTTGCTGTTGTCTTTAACTCAGAGACGCTCGCAACAGACTTCGGTTTAGTTTCGACAAGAAAAAGCCGAACGAATAATAAACTTGAATAAATTAGTACAAGAACACAGAAAATGATGCTGCAACGCCGAGCGCGCAAGCGAGCCATTTCATACCAGCATATGCGGTATGATTACGATGAAACTTTGTTGTCCGTTCCGTTTCGCCTCAGGCGGCTCATCCAGCCAACTTATTCATCATCGAATTTAACCATTCATCAAACCTTTCTGTACTAAACATACAAGTACTTTCAAATCATCTTCAACCAAGTTTCAAACACGGAGATGTGAAATAAAACAAAGTACAGCGTCTTCTTGTTCCATACGACGATCGATTATTAAACAGCTTCATACAACAGCAACAGCGGATGTAAAGGGACATCACCTTATTGTCTCACGTGATGAGCATTCCCCATGACGCTGCGTTTGCCAAGGGCAACCGGTCCTAAAAACCCAGGGGGGTTACTTGAATTTTTCTAGGGGGTCAGGTGACTGACGATTATTTTTTCATGACTCTGATTTTTTTAACGTAAAAAAGATCTTTACGTATGAAACTCGTAGTTAAAATTTAGGCCCGTCCTTTTCTAGACACCAAATAACGCTTTAGGAAATTAAGTTCAATTATTTTTATTGGTATTGTTAAATCGGTCCAAACAACTGGGTGAAACCCATCAATAAAAACTTGAAGTGGCCCCCATGGCCTCAAGACAACAGTAACCTGAGTGGTATCTGAAAAACGAAAATTTCACTGCCATCTGTGGCGAACCCAAAATAGTTGTTTTCGGCGGACGTCTGTCGAAATCTTCGCTTGTTCTAGTCTACAGTCATTGCCAAAAGTGTTAAAACTAGTCGCGGAAAAAGTGTTCTTTCTAATTTCAAACGTCTTTTTGTAGTAAAACAACATTGTTCAAATAGGGGAAGGGGAATGGCTGAATTTGCCTTTGGAAATTCATTAGTGTACTTTTGGCAAGGATTCTAATACTGTGCAAAAATACAACAATCAAGAGAGGCCATTTTGTAATATTTCACGTCAAAGCATCAAACTGTGTCAATCCAACAGCTCAACAACAACTGTTTACTTGCAACAACATACACTGGAGTATAATTGAAAGTTATTTGTGGTCATAACAATAGATATGCATAAGTACTCAATGTGCTCAATTATCCTCTAATTTGAAATTATGTTTCCCCTATCTATTTGTTGTTATCAAACGTGTAAAGCAATATTAATCACTAAGCGATAAAATAAACGATATTTACAGTTGCTACGACGCGCTTTTCTGCACACAATACAACTTGATTTGAAACAAAGTCTACTGTTTTAAACCCTAAACCAAACAACATTTAAAATGCCGAGGATGTTGTAACAGTGCTCATGTGAGCAAGCTGTTTTATTAAATCCCTTTTTACGCTAGCCGTTCTTTCTACCAAAACAAATACAAACTAAACCCTTTTATAAAACATGTATCGAAAAGAATGAATGACAAATATTTTGAAGGATATTGTTAATAACGTTGTAGCATTTGCAAAAACCAACCTCACAATCCATGAGGTATGTTAGATGCAAGAGGTTTCCGTCGACGAGTTGACACCCATATAAGGCGCTTTTACCACTCTTTTGCTGCCATCTCAGAATTATAAAACCACTTGCTTAAATATTTGGTTACTAAGAAAACAAATAAAAGACAAATAAAGATTAGTTCGTTAAACTTAATCAACAAACGATTCAAACTTATTTACGGTTTATTTTGTGTGTATTTAGGCAACTTTGGAAGAAAAATTCTTGACAGAAAATATAGAAAAACTTACTTTTTCACAAATCTTTTTTTCAAATAAAATTGCACCTTTAAACAAAAAACAACTTTCATAAAATTCGGGAGATGATTCAAATATATTTAGGGTTTATTTAGAATAAATGAAAGCACTATTGTATCAAAAAATTTTAGGTCGAAAATCGGAAATTTTGGCAAGGTAATAGCCTTGCTTTTTCTCGAAAACCCTGATCCAAAACACTCTATTTCAGAGCATAAAACACTTTTAATAGAGGCGAGAGCTGATTGAAACGTATTTATGCTTTATTTAGAGTGGATTGAGGCAAAGTTTGGATGAACAAATTTTTGGTCAAAAATGGGCTATTTTGGTAAGGCTATAGACTTGCTTTTTTCACGAAAATCCTCCTCAAAAACATTGCTTTTAAGAGCAGAAATATTCTTTTAATAAAGTTGAAGGCTGATTTTAATGTCTTTATGGCTTATTTAGTGTAGATTGAGGCAGGTTTTGGGTGAAAATATTTTTGGTTTTATTAGCATAGAAGGTAAAAACTAAAAAACCCAATGTGTGTGCCCCTTGTATGTTTTAAGCAATTGGCTTGTAAATGGGCAGAAAATGATGAAAAGCAACTCATCAGCCAAAAACCTACGAGGGACATTTCGGAGCTTTAATTCTGTATGTCCGTTTCTCGTAGGCGCCCCTTGCATTCCCGCGTTCAGGGATCGCGGTTTCAAACGTGAGGAAATACAGATAAAAAATATAATTAGTTATAACTTTGATTAAACTTGATATTGATGAAGTTCAATGAGCCAGAGCTATCGGTTTGTATATGGTATTAATATATATGATGTATGGTAACTGAGAGGTGCGAAGCTGCAATAGTTTAGAATATATCTTAGAGTATCCTATAAATTGTTGGTTTTTTGAAGTTTTTCCTTGTTCTTTACTAGCCGTTCTGGTGGTTGCCCACTGATCCACCAACAAGGAATTGTCTAGTTTCCATACTGCTCGACCTGATAGTTATAAATAAGCATGATTAATAGTCATAAATTAGTATGATTAATTATTTCAAGTAAAGGGTTAGCAGAATTGTCTAGTTTCCATACTGCTCGACCTGATAGTCATAAATAAGCATGATTAATAGTCATAAATTAGTATGATTAATTATTTCAAGTAAAGGGTTAGCAGAATTGTCTAGTTTCCATACTGCTCGACCTGATAGTCATAAATAAGCATGATTAATAGTCATAAATTAGTATGATTAATTATTTCAAGTAAAGGGTTAGCAGAATTGTCTAGTTTCCATACTGCTCGACCTGATAGTCATAAATAAGCATGATTAATAGTCATAAATTAGTATGATTAATTATTTCAAGTAAAGGTTCAGGGTTAGGGTTAGGGTTAGGGTAAGGGTTAGGATTAGGGTTATGTTTAGGGTTAGGTTTAGGGTAAACTAATTACGTCATCAGGTCGAGCAGTATGGAAACTAGACAGCTCCTGCGACGCTGCGCAGTCCTTTGGGAAATAGTTGTAGCCTCGGTTCCAACCTTGCAGCAAAACATCTAGGCAGCAAAAGAACACGGAGGGAATGACCACCATGTTGCATTGGACGAGGGGGAGGTCATCATGGGGGAAGGTCCATATTGCAGTTCCATTCTCTTGTTTTTTGTCAACCAATCTTGGCCACATCTCTTCAACATTAGCCTAAAGGCAAACTGCCACAAAGTACGAAGAATGCTGTTCTGCTAATGAAATAGAAACAAGATGGTTTCGACACGAACTTGGTTATCATCATGAAGAAAATCTCAGCAAAATTGCTACGGTATGTTGCCAACTTCTTTCGTCACCTTTTGTTAGTATTGGCAAATTTGCGTTTTTGCAAGTTATGGTATTTCAATGCCGGTTGTTGATTATGAAAAGGGAACCACAAACGCAACCTGCAAACTGGCATTCGTGAAGGTAGGCGGGAGGGCTAGGCCACGTTTCATACCAGATCACATTTCGACTCTTTCTTTCCAACAGTTCGTTGATTATTACATTAAATGGGGGAATTGAAATAGCAATTTGGGAAAGCCTGGTCCTAAATTTGATGTTGCTGGAAAAAGTTCACATAGAAAGTCCAAATATAAGAAAATGCTCTTGCAACGTGTTTTAACCTACCTTGCAGCTGGGACCGCGTACCAGTGTGAAAGTGTAGGGGCTGAATTGGGCATGACCGAATTTTTTTCAGGCCACGCCCTTTAGGACACCGGAAAACGCCCCTTTTAGAAAATACTTGCTTATTTCTTCTTGATTCTTATAAACAACCTGGTTCAGAGAAGATATCAATAACCATAAAAATAGATAAAATTAGCTTGAGGCTAATAAAACACCAAGCGAACCAAGTTAGAAAATACATCATATCATTAAACAAGATAAAACACCTAGAAAAAGAACAAATTGGTTCCCAGTCAATGAGAACTGCTACTGCATAGGAGTAAACTATCCAAAGTTGTGTGAGTGAACCTTCAAAAAAAATTTCTAGCCTATTATTGCAAAAAAGTGGATGGGCTATAGCCCCTGCTAGCCCAATGGCTGTGCGGTGCCTGTCTTGCAGCTTAAAACTCAGCAGTAACATTCATGTTTTTAGTGACACTTCTACCCCTGGGAAAACCCCAGCATGGTTCATAGCCTAACCATAGTTTGCAATGGTTCTACCATGATTGAACCATAATATTGACAACCTCTGACCATGGTTAGTGGTTCAGCATGTTGGAGCAATGAAATGAGATTTTCCTTGCAATAAATATTATTTCTGAATATTAATTCTATAAATCCAAAAAATTTTATACAAAACAGTGCATTAACTGTGTTACCCTAAATAAAAATATAAGAAAAAAAGAACAATTTTCTGTATTTGCCATTATTTTACAATTAACCATGTCAAGACAATGGCCCATGTCTCAAGATGCAATTCAGTCAATTAAGGTGTCTTTTGCTTGGTTTCCATCTGACTTCACAACCAAAGATTATATTTTCCATGCCTTACCATGATTTTATTCATGGTAAAATTCTCCGAAACATGCCAAAATGGTATTGGGAACGGAAATTAAGACTTTCTTGGTTGTTTCAAGTAATAAAGTTTATGGTTTAGTTAGAGTAGATTGAGGCGAGTTTAGAATGAATCAAAATTGGTCAAAAATCAGGAACTTTAGAAAGGCTATAGGCTTGCTTTTTTCAGAAGAATCTTCCTCAAAAGTTGTTTTTTATAGAAGAAAAACCTTTTTTATAGAATCGCTAGCTGATTTAAACGTCGTTATTGCTTGTTGAGAGTAGATGGAGGCAAGTTTAGAATGTAAAAAAATTGTTCAAAAATCCGGTATTTTATTAAGGCTATAGCCTTGCTTTTTGCACGAAAATCTTTAAATAAAACACTGCCTTTTTAGAGCATGAAAACACTTTTAATAGAGGCGAGAGCTGATTTAAACGTATTTATGCTTTATTTAGAGTGGATTGAGACAATATTTGGATGGAAAAATTCTTGGTCAAAAATGGGGTAATTGCTTTTTTGCACGAAAATCCAATACCAAAACACTGCCTTTTTAGAGCGTGAAAACATTTTTAAAAGATGCGAGAGCTGATTGAAACGTATTTATGCTTTATTTAGAGTGGTTTGAGAGGAGTTTTGGATTAAAAAATTCTTGGTCAAAAATGGGGTATTTTGGTAAGGCTATAGCCTTGCTTTTTTGCATGAAAACCCTTAACCAAAACACTGCTTTTATAACCATAAAAACACTTTTAATACAGGCGAGAGCTGATTTAAACGTATTTACGCTTTATTTAGAGTGGTTTTAGGCAAGTTTTGGATCATAAAAATCGTTGTTCAAAAATGGGGTATTTTGGTAAGGTTATAGCCTTGCTTTTTTGTATGAAAATCCTTAACCAAAACACTGCTTTTATGAGCATAAAAACACTTTTAATACAGGCGAGAGCTGATTTAAACGTATTTATGCTTTATTTAGAGTGGTTTTAGGCAAGTTTTGGATGAAAAAATTGTTGTTCAAAAATGGGGTATTTTGGTAAGGTTATAGCCTTGCTTTTTTGTATGAAAATCCTTAACCAAAACACTGCCTTTTTAGAGCATAAAAACACTTTAAATAGAGGCGAGATCTGATTCAAACGTATTTATGCTTTATTTAGAGTGGTTTTAGGCAAGTTTTGGATGAAAAAATTGTGGGTCGAAAATGGGGTATTTTGGTAAGGCTATAGGCTTGCTTTTTTGCACGAAAATCCAATACCAAAACACTGCCTTTTTAGAGCGTGAAAACATTTTTAAAAGATGCCAGAGCTGATTGAAACGTATTTATGCTTTATTTGGAGTGGTTTGAGAGGAGTTTTGGATTAAAAAATTCTTGGTCAAAAATGAGGTATTTTGGTAAGGCTATAGCCTTGCTTTTTTGCATGAAAATCCTTAACCAAAACACTGCTTTTATGAGAATAAAAACGCTTTTAATACAGGCGAGAGCTGATTTAAACGTATTTATGCTTTATTTAGAGTGGTTTGAGGCAAGTTTTGGATGAAAAAATGTTTGTTCAAAAATTGGGTGTTTTGGTAAGGCTATAGCCTTGGTTTTTTGCATGAAAACCCTTTACCAAAACACTGCTTTTATGAGCATAAAAACACTTTTAATACAGGCGAGAGCTGATTTAAACGTATTTATGCTTTATTTAGAGTGGTTTTAGGCAAGTTTTGGATGAAAAAATTTTTGGTCAAAAATGGGGTGTTTTGGTAAGGCTATAGCCTTGCATTTTTCCATGAAAATCCTTAACCAAAACACAATCATTTTAGAGCAGGAAAACACTTAAAATAGAGGCGAGAGCTGATTAAAACGTATTTATGCTTTATTTAGAGTGGTTTTAGGCAAGTTTTGGATGAAAAAATTGTTGGTCAAAAATGGGGTATTTTGGTAAGGCTATAGTCTTGCTTTTTTCCATGAAAATCCTTAACCAAAACACTGCCTTTTTAGAGCATAAAACACTTTTAATAAAGGCGAAAGCTGATTGAAACGTATTTAGGCTTTATTTAGAGTGGTTTTAGGCAAGTTTTGGATGAAAAAATTGTTGGTCAAAAATGGGGTATTTTGGTAAGTCTATAGCCTTGCTTTTTGCATGAAAACCCTTAACCAAAACCCTGCATTTTTAGAGCATAAAAACACTTTTTATAGAGACTAGAGCTGATTTAAACGTATTTATGCTTTATTTAGAGTACATTGAGGCAATTTTTGGATGAAAAAATTGTTGGTCAAAAATGGGGTATTTTGGTAAGTCTATAGCCTTGCTTTTTGCATAAAAACCCTTAACCAAAACACTGCCTTTTTAGAGCAGGAAAACACTTTAAATAGAGGCAAGAGCTGATTGAAACGTATTTAGGCTTTATTTAGAGTGGTTTTAGGCAAGTTTTGGATGAAAAAATTGTTGGTCAAAAATGGGGTATTTTGGTAAGGCTATAGCCTTGCTTTTTGCATGAAAACCCTAAACATAAACCCTGCATTTTTAGAGCATAAAAACACTTTTTATAGAGACTAGAGCTGATTTAAACGTATTTATGCTTAATTTAGAGTTGATTGAGGCAATTTTTGGATGAAAAAATTGTTGGTCAAAAATGGGGTATTTTGGTAAGGCTATAGCTTTGCTTTTTTGCCCGAAAATCCTTAACCAAAACACTGCCTTTTTAGAGCAGGAAAACACTTTAAATAGAGGCGAGAGCTGATTGAAACGTATTTAGGCTTTATTTAGAGTGGTTTTAGGCAAGTTTTTGATGAAAAAATTGTTGGTCAAAAATGGGGTATTTTGGTAAGGCTATAGCCTTGCTTTTTTTCCCGAAAATCCTTAACCAAAACACTGCCTTTTTAGAGCATGAAAACACTTTAAATAAAGGCAAGAGCTGATTGAAACGTATTTAGGCTTTATTTCGAGTGGATTGAGGCAAGTTTTGGATGAAAAAACTATTGGTCAAAAATGGGGTATTTTGGTAAGGCTATAGCCTTGCTTTTTTACATGAAAACCCTTAACCAAAACACTGCCTTTTTAGAGCATAAAAACACTTTTAATAGAGGCGAGAACTGATTTAAACGTATTTATGCTTTATCTAGAGTGGATTGAGGCAAAATTTGGATGAAAAAATTGTTGGTCAAAAATGGAGTATTTTGGTAAGGCTATAGCCTTGCTTTCTTTCCCGAAAATCTTTAACCAAAACACTGCCTTTTTAGAGCATAAAAACACTTTTAATGGAGGCTAGAGCTGATTTAGATATTTATGCTTTATTTAGAGTGGATTGAGGCAATTTTTGGATGAAAAAATTGTTGGTCAAAAATGGGGTATTTTGGTAAGGCTATAGCCTTGCTTTTTTACATGAAAATCCTTAACCAAAACACTGCATTTTTAGAGCAGAAAAAAACTTTAAATAGAGGCGAGAGCTGATTGAAACGTATTTAGGCTTTATTTAGAGTGGTTTTAGGCAAGTTTTTGATGAAAAAATTGTTGGTCAAAAATGGGGTATTTTGGTAAGGCTATAGCCTTGCTTTTTTACATGAAAACCCTTAACCAAAACACTGCCTTTTTAGAGCATAAAAACACTTTTAATAGAGGCGAGAACTGATTTAAACGTATTTATGCTTTATCTAGAGTGGATTGAGGCAAAATTTGGATGAAAAAATTGTTGGTCAAAAATGGAGTATTTTGGTAAGGCTATAGCCTTGCTTTTTTTCCCGAAAATCTTTAACCAAAACACTGCCTTTTTAAAGCATAAAAACACTTTTAATGGAGGCTAGAGCTGATTTAGAT